CGAATTCGTGGCGTACGCACGGGGCTAAGACATGTCACGGCCGATCGACCGCCGGCCGGCGATTACCAACCTTGCTAATGGAAAATGTCAACGAAGACTCGACCGCTGGCCCCGTGGTGTTGCGCCGTCAAGACCTTTGCTGCGGACATAAGCATTTAACATGTACGCAACGCGTCCCATTCACAAACACGTATTCATTCATCGAACGGTCCAAGTACACTTCGTATGTTATTTGCGAGTTAACATTCAATGAATTCGAAAGGAAATAAACAATTAATTGAATTGCTTTGGCACTGTTAACGCCTCCAGTTAGCCTTCGGTTGGATTAAGTATGACGTAGTGCAGCTATTATATTAAGCATTGAGAAACAGCTAGCTCTGTATTAGGCGATGCTTGCATTAGAAGCTCGTTTAACTTTACTTTATCGGACGTTTCGGGCGGCAATTAATTATATGTATATTGTCATAATCGAATACGGTTAGACAACCTCATTATTAATTATAATTAATTATTTGCTTAGACAAATTTGTCAAGTAAACTAAGCTCTTAGTTGTTATTACTTGAGATTCAAAATTGTTATTAAAATAGTAAAAATTTGGTCAAAATGACCAATTACCACTGCATAAAAGGCTACATATTGTGTATTATTTAATATAATTTAATTATATTTTATTATATAATGAATAAAATTAACTTTCATCGCAAACTTAAAAGAGGAAATTATAATTTCATGAACCTAAATCGTACAATTTAATTTTTTATCGCTCTCTACAGAAGTTGAAGTCAATTTGTCGAGCGCATTTGTAATAAATGACCCACTTAGCGAGCTGCAATCATTAGCCTTTATACAGCAATAATATCATGGAAATGGTTTGTATTTAGTTCAGTGATTGATGTTATGAGACGGGGGCGAGGGCGTGGGCGACCGGAAGCGATCCGTAATTTTGTGGTCTAGTGCGAACCGTGTCTATTGCAAATTTATGCTTATTTCTACAGTTCCCAAAATTATGTTACATTGTTATTAAAACATAGGTTTTATAATTATTTGTAAAGTTGGAGTTTACCTGAACTTACTATGTATGTATAGGCTTTGTCAAACCAAGTCGTTCATTTTCAAGACTTATAACATAATTTTTATGAACTTTATATAAAATTCAAAAATACTGTTTCAAAAGTTCGTTGTTCCGAAATTTAGTTCAAATTCAGTTTGTATTTTAGAACGTATGATATTGTAATTTTATTTTGTGAAACTTATTCCATAAAATTATCGGCATAATTATTTTTACTACTAGTAGAGTAAAAAAAATTCTTCATTATAAATGTTATGAGTCTAAATTAAGTTCAATTAATGAGTTATTAGTGAAGTAACGTACATTATTTTTCGAGTCATTGTATTCCTATTTCTATCTCTTTGCAACATTAGACTCAGATTTCAACATAAATCTATAATCTTAGGACGGGCAGGACTCAAAGGTCCCACGTCATTGCTATAAATATAACTTGCAAGGATAGTATCTAGTCTATAGTCTATGTTATGGACCTCATAGTCTAGACTGGTCGTCTGTCTAACCTCGCCCACGTCTACCTCGATGAAACTTTAATTATCTTGGAAGTTTTAAAAAAACATACGGTTCTATTTTTAAAAATTCATCCAGTCGCATTCAGTTTCAACTTAAAAACAAAACAAATTAAAAAGAGTCTATCTCTAGTGTCAAAGTACTTTTATTTGTGGCTTATAAAGTTACTAGCGGACCCGACAAACGTTGTCCTGTCTATTAAAATAAAATAAAAAAATAAATTTCGAATATTATTTAAAATTTGACACTGCGATGGTAGCGCCGTCTGTCGGATCCAATGTAAAACATTCCAAAATCAACAACTACTAATAAATTAAAAATTAATTAAAAAAACATTGTCCAGCGGACAAAATTGTGAATCTAAACCATTCCCACATCGCCTTGAACACACACAAAAAATTTCATCAAAATCGATCCAGTCGTTTGAGAGAAGTTCAGTGACATACACACGCACAGAAGAATTATATATAAAGATAAACAGCTAAACTATTAAATGTTATTTTTATTCGTTAGATTACACGTTAAGAATACTTTTTGATTGATATTGTAATGCAGATAAAATAAATTTAATTGAAAAATTTAATGTTACAAAACCTTACCCACCGTATGATGTTGACGAGAACTAAGTATTATGTATTAATTTTTGAAAATACATCTAATGGGTTGGATTGGAAAAAATACTTTGAAGGTGCTAGGGTACTAAGAATATAGATAATAAAACATTAAAAGTAAAAAATAATAGAATTAAAACACACTTAGAAAATTACTATTCTTTCTTTTTAAAAAGACAGTTAAAGTTTTTCAGTTACAATATAAATAATAATATTTTAAGACGATCAAAATGTCAGAATTGTGTTGCGATCTTAGATTATCTTAGCAGGTTTAAGTGATAGGTTTTTGTGTGACTTAACAACGTTTCTCGAGAGCATTTCCGGTGGTACAGCCCAACCCGCGGCGCGCACACGCCAAACCTGTTTAATAATTTGGTATTTTTGGAGAGCCATGTCGATTAATTTACGATAGACCAGCTTCCTGTGATAAAAGCCACATTCAACCTACAATATGACAAGCTGACCAATAGAATTTGATCGTCTCTTTATAATTTTTAAAAAGAGTTTTTAATTGGACTTATAATAAATGCTCGCGCGACAACACTTACAACAAAATAAATAATTAACATTAATTAATTATGAAATAAGATTTGAAAAGAAAGTTAGAAAACCTTTCTTAAAATTCGACAGTAAAATTATGTCTGTAGAGGATTTTGTTAACCGTAGGTTTCTGAGACCAATATCCACGTTTATAACATATTGCTATCTCTGTTTTGTCAAAGATAATGACAGGGATGTTATACTCAATATAGATATTCTGGTCTTTTTGTTTTTTTCGTTGAAAACACACTCATTATAATTCAGTATTCATCATCTAGACGTTTACTTAAGCTATGTTATTGAGGATTACTTTTTGTTTTTAACTTAGACTGTAATTAAATATATTTACAATTAAGATTTGAATTATTTTTTTATAAATACATTCATTAATAATTTGATTTCTGTTGTGGTTAACCAGAATTAATCATAAAGTCGACAGAATCGCAATTCACATTCGTGTTCCAGGAACTTTATTTATTTCCAGTTAATTTATAATTACTCATTGTTTATACGATTACGTAAATTTAAACACATTAAGTGTTTTGTCTAATACAATGAAATAAGGAAGAGCCAATAAAAGTTATGAACAACTTCTATGGAACTAAACTATAAAAGAAATTTGTATCTTTCTAATTTTTTTTTATACCATAAGGTGGCAAACGAGCGAGCATCCACCTGAAATCGCTGAAAGAGCGAAGTGACCGTTGCCCATAGACATACGCAATTGCACGTGCGTTGCCTTCCTTTAATCGACGGAGAAGGGGATGCACATAAAGAAAAAATATTTTCTCTTTCCATGCATCCTCTCATCCGGAAAGTCCACTTCCACTTCCCATCCTTTCCCTAAAAGAAAAAGGGTGGGAAGGGAAAGAGGACTCAATTAGGCCTCCGGGACGCACACTCATCAGACGAAACCCGGAATTGCTACCACTTCACGCCTATCTTCTGTGTGGTCGTCGTATTTCACCGGGCGAGCCGGGCCAATTCGTGCGAAGATGTTAAAGCGGGCTCTAACACTGTTAAAAATTATAAATTATAATATTATAAATGCGGTTGTTTAGATGGATTGATGGATGAAGGTATATCCAGAAGGGCTGCATGGATCTCGCTGATTTGCACAGATGTAGAACATAGCCTGAAGAATACATATATTATTAATTTATTATAGTTTTTTTTAATTCCAGGTGGACGGAGTGGCAGGCGACAGCTGGTATTTATTAAACGTAATATTTTTTTTGTTATAAAATGCTTATAAACAAGCAACAAAACAACAACTATCTTATTCATTGTCACGTGTCACTTTAACCTTTTCAAAGTTATTTGTTTTGCGACAACGTGATCTCATCGCCCAATTTATTATTCCTTTGAATATTTTGTAATACAACAAAATGCAGTTTCTTTAATAATTATTAGTGGTTAATATTTTAAGTAGAAAGAAGTACATGCTTAGTACTGTATAATATAATGTTAACGTAGGATTTCACTGTTAAAGGACACACAAGAAATATCCTTGCATTTTAAATAGATCGAGTATTATGACAATATCTTTTGGTCAGTGAAATCCGAAGGTTTTGTTTGTAGTATGAAAATTATTAAAAATTGTATGAGTATTCAAACATAACAGTTAACTTATTGTTATTTATTTGGTTATCAATCATTGCTATCTTTTAAAGTTGCTGTCCAACGTATATCTTATGTTTGGAGAGATTTGTGAGTGGGTCTGTAAAATTAGAGCTGTAAACAGTAAAATAGCCCGCAGTTATCTAACGTCAACTGCGGCGAACATAAATCAGATAATAAAACCAGTAGTTAGTGTAAGATGAGAAAATAATTTGTTTAAATAAATTAGGCGCTGTGGTTACGGCGTGGGCCGGCAGGCGGCGTTGCTCGCGTGCGCCGACGCAGCCTACGCTGACACCGCACGCTGCCGGATATTTTCAAGTTTGTTTGTCAGGACCGTTGAAGGTAAACATTGGCGCCAACCTTATTAATTATATTTGTATTTAATTAACATCAATATTTAACAAATTATTCCGACTGTAAAACAAAGTTATCTAACCGCATCTGAATGACTATTAACTCAAAAACTAAAGAATTAAAGTTATGTATATTTTTCATCTATAGATTGCCTAAAGGTGAGACATAGAGATATTAGTTGAAATATAAAATTGTGTAAGAACATCTAGAAATAAATGACTAACGCATTGTTACAGAAAGTAGGTTAAATATCAACTTTAAACTTTGTAGATTGAAATGAAATGATAAAAATATCTTAATTTACGTTATGTATTGCCCTAAAGTCGTTTTCATAATATATCTGAAAATTTAAACAACTAACGCCATCTAGAATTGAGCCCTGAATTGCGTGGCGGCCACAGGTCCACACAGGTTCTTCCCCCGTAGCCAATTTGAAAGCATAAAGCGACTACGAGATGGCGGCACACTCGGTAGGAAATTATTGCCGTCGCCTTGTTCATAGAGTAATGTTATGTAGCGGTGTGGGCCGGTTCCGCGAGGTGGCGCTGGTGGTTTATAACCTGCAAATTAAAAAGCCTTTTTTTTCTTGCAATTGGTAACAAATGTTTTCGGCAAGCAGAGGGTTAATCCGTCTATTTTTAATTTATCGCAAACTAAATATTTACCTCGGTAATCAATGCCAAATGTTTTAATGCTCTCTTTCGCTCTTAGTGCAAGACCCTGAAATATTAGAATGTTTGTATAAAAGTAGACTAATGCTAAAACAGACTTTAAAATTAGTCCAATACTAAAGTTATAAAAGTATAACTTATGATTTATTGCAAATAATCTTGTAAGACTCTGTTATTTTTGCAAAAATACTCACAGGTATGTTAGATTTTAACATATGCAAGAAAAATTCTCCTTCAGTTTGTGGTGGTGCGTCTGGGTCTACCATAATTATTGTATAAAACTTTTTCTGCAAGCAAATGTTGTGTTAACGCTTATAACCCATAATTTAGTGGTTGCTTACAACCTATATAAAAGATATATCGTTTATTGCTACTCATACCGAATCAGCTAATGCGTATTGAAACAACGGCTCGTCACTAAACACTTGTTTAGGAAGAAGAACATCGCAATTGTGATCGTTAACCATCGTTCCTCCTACACTTGTTACGTTGAGTCCAGTTAATCTATCGCATCCCTCAAGCAGGCTCTTAACATCTCCCATTGAACATTGTGGCACCCCTTCACATATAATACTACTTAAACTAAATGTAAGCGTAATAAAGTGCAAACGTTTCATCGTGAAATCGTACTTAGTGCACAAGAAACGAACAGTTAAAACTCACAAAAGAATTGTTTATAAACTCAAACGAATTGTTGATTTAACGGGAATCACTTTATGATAAGACTGTTGTGGCATTTTTATCACTAGATATGGTTTTTTTAAAGTAATGTTAATATTTTATTAAACGAATTTTATTATTTAGTAACACACATGTATATTCAAAAATACAAATACTAAATACTAGTAATCGATTTCAAGATTTTTTCGTATTTTGAGTATTTTATAGTGTGTGTTGTGTCAACTGTCTAGTTTCAACGTCAACATGACAACCAAGTGACATAAGAGATATGTACTGAAAATTTTCTTTTTGTTTATAAGGTTTTGCGAAAAATGTAAACACGGCGTTTAATAAAACATGGAATCACATCCTCTTAACCTGGTACGTATTAATATTTCAATTTTTTTAAACAAAACATAGGTAAAAATAACGAATTATCATTCTTTTCAGGCGCATCAGCAACATCGTCGTGCGGATGCTCATTTAATTAATAATAGATACGACGAAGCGATGCAGTGCCATCACAATGCAGCTGAATTATTACTAGACGCAATGAAGTCAACCACCTCTTCCGCAGCATTGGAATCAATAAGTCTCCAACATAGTTACCATTTAAAACAAAAGGATCTAATCAAGAGCAAGAAAGAACAATATGCTCGCGTCAAAAAAGCTATGGAAAACATCAAATTGTTGAGCCGAGATCCTCATCTCAAACTACAAAGCAATGAGTATTCTAAACTACAAATTGCTATTTATAGAGCCATTAATGAATCAGAAGCATTGCTCCACAAAATGTCAAATGAGGATTTATCCACTGAATCGAGGGTATTCCAAGATCCAGCATATTCTGGTGATGTTACAGATGGCAAAAAAATTGAGAAAACTCAACAAACTATTGTTGAGGAATTGCAAATTCTCAGTCAAAATTTACATTCGCTGGTTGAACAACTGGTACTACAAGTTGAAGTTCTCAAAGATGAAAATACAACGCTTAAGGAACGAGTTAGTTATTTGGAAAAAGAAAGAGTTAAATATTTGAACCTACCATCATCATATTTGAACAGTCAACAAAGTAATTTCTCAACAATATTTGTACCTAAAGATGAGTTGAATGTAGCAACTAATTCAAACAATTCAACTGAATTGAATCAACAAATGAATGCTCTAATCCTGGAGAGAACAAATCAGCAGCCACATTTTGATTTAAGTGCATTCAAAGACCAATAAATACTTTCAATAGATATTAAGTAATAAACCCATATAAGTAATCCAAGACTGCTGCCTATAAACCTATTAAGCAAATACCATTCAATTGACTAGTACTTCTTTATCAAGTTAATATTCCAGTAAGTTTATAATTTGCAAGATTTTGTAGTAACCAGTTTTATTTCATACTGGCAGTTGCTCATGACTTTATCAGTACTGAATAATAAAATCTAGTAATAAATATAGTCAAAGATTTTTCAAATCGTTTTGGAACCCATTGAATGCAAACAACTAAATCTTTCCTCTCTTCAATATTAGTATAGCCTACATGTTATTCTAGAGAACATTAAAATAATTATTGAAGTAGTGGCCTATGATAATAATTTGTTTTTTAGTGCTGTTTTTAGATTCCTAATTTGACAGATTCTAACTTTATGACTCCTTGGCAATGGGATAGCAAGCTGCTATATTGTTTGTATGGCACTATACCACAAGTTTAACATGACAAACTAGTCTTAAAAGCAATATAATCGCAATTTTTACTATAAAAATGTGGATTTCGATAATAAGTGTTACCACAATCGGAACCCACAATTATTTGCAATTAAATATTATTATGGTTAATTATATTCATTTTTATAATAGTAGAGTTCTTGGAATGTAATTCAGACTGACAGTTTTGCTACTCAGGATTTTTGTACTATTGTATTAAACATTTTTATCACTTAATTTGTTTTATTAAATTTTCGAAGTTGTGACTAAGTTCACTGCCGAAGAACTGTTTTTATTTTCTTATAAGAGTAGGTGGCAAAGGAGCAGCGGGAACACCCATGTGTTTATCGACGACCATGGACCATTTTGTAATTACATGAGTTTTTTTTACAGTAATCTTACTATTATAGATGCTAATGTTAAGATGGATGTTTGTTTGAAAGTATCTCCAGAACGGCTGAAGGAATCTCGATGAAATTGGGCAAATATATAGAACATAGACTGGAAGAACACATAGTCTACTAATATTTTTTTTTATTCCGCGCGGCGTCGCGGGCTTCAGCTAGTTTTTAAAATAAAACACCATTTACATTTTTCAAAGATATGTATTATTGCATATTGGTCATACACAAAAATAAAACTATTTTTTTTTCAAATGTAAAAATAAACTTCCCAGTTGCTTCACCTAGGAATAACTATTCTTAAGCCTATGATTTCTATATAGTTAACAATCAATATTCTAGTAACATTAAATTTTTTTTTGGTAACCTGAAATATACCAGAAAAGGTAGATTTCTGTATACAATGAGTTTCGTTTTCAGATCTTTTAAAAGCTCATTTGAAATGAAAAATTATGCGCATTTTATATTATGAAAACCTTATAACACTGCTACAAACAACATTGTTTTAGAATTTTCCTTGATTTAACATATTTTGGTAAAAAAATTAATACATGACAGTTTGGTGAAGTAGAAAACAAAAGCAAAGTATAATCAAAATTATACATCTCCATTCCTAATATATGATTCGGGATTAATCGTGTAACAGTGAGTTTCTAAAACCATAAACCCTGTTTAAAACATATTGGCATCTCAGCTTTGTCAAAGATTATGACAGGGATGACGATATGCTTTATACAGAGATTTAAGTCTCAGAAACCAATGGTAAGTGTAAGATGATTTAATACTATATATCACATTATTATTAAAAACCATGACCAAAGTATAATACAGTAAAAGCATTGATCTTTATTCCACTGGAAAGATTAAAAGCCGAGGTAATTTGTGACTATTTGATTTTGGCGCTGAGTGTTGCGGTGTTGGAAACTCGAACGAACCATAGTAGAATTATTATAATTTTTGACAACTTTGGTTGTCAAAAAGAATCTGAGTAAGAATAATCATACATATGATACTTGTGCGTTCATTAAATAGCTTTACTGGCAACGTATAAATAATTTAGAAATTTAAATTCGCGATCTTACGTATTATTGACGGTATCGACTCCAGTGATGCTTGTATTGACATATATTGCCATCCCATACATTCTCTTTAAAAAAAAGAGACAACAATATGTTTCAATTTTCACTGCAGTCGAAATTTACAGTAAAATCCATTTAAAGAAAAAAACAAGGTTCTATTGTTGTAGATAAAATGGAGGAAGACTTTCTCATGAATTTTCATTCTCTCTCAAGAGAGAAAAAGCACTGTCTCAGTAGCCACAGTTCACATTGCCTGCCACAACTGAACTGCACGAGAAAAAAACAAGGAGTGTCACTTTTTATATGGGACTGACCTTTTATTATATTTACCAGCTTATTTTTTGGGGTAAAGCCATCATAGTCTGCTGTAAATTTGAAATTTACATTTTGTTTGAATGAACATTAAATGATATTAATATACTTTGACACTATAAAGTCGTTTTACTTTAAACTATTGAAATTCTTCGTTTTTATCTTCACCTAAATAGAAATCAAATAATAAGAAATTGTCCTAGCCTCTTAAAATTTTATAAGGATAATTCAAACTTAACCAATATGTTGATATCATTTCAAATATAGAATTATATTTTTATAGCATACATTGTTTGACACAAATAGGCACTAAAATGGCAAATCACCACAAAACATTCAATTCAAAACTCACAACCATAATATACATAAAAATAATATTTCTATAGATTACATATTAATGTTATAGCTAGATGAGTTAGTCCATCTAATACCCAAGGTCTATTCCCCCGAAGGGGTTTAAGTTGACTAAGTATACCCCCTATGAAAAATGTAACATACTGTATGTCTGCAATAATTAGTACTATGAGTAAGAAAAGTGTTTAAAAATCCATAGTACGACAAATAACTTTTCTACGTTCATATGGAGTGAATCTATGTAATAATAATTGTCGACGCGATTGTACAAACCTACAAAGGATGTTAGAATTTTCACGAGGGGAATACTTGGTCATTCATTACCCATTTAGGTTAAATTTAATGGAGAATAGAAGGATTAACCCAAGTGGATTACTTTGACAATAATATACTATAATACCGTTAACTAATTATAATATAGTCCATTACTTTTAGTACCATGCTAAATATAAAAAAACCTAAAACACATTGATGAGAAAAAAAAATAGCTTCTTTGAACTTTACACATGCCTCGATTTGTGATTCGTATGTTTTTATTGCGTAAAAATTGGTACAAAATCATTTTAAATTATTTATATTTTTCAATGATTTTTCTAGCAATGGAAATGGATAGTTAGGATTTTATTTCAATATATATGTTTTGTTATCTTAGATATTATTATTTGTTAAATTGTTTATAACCTCAACAGACTTATATCGACTTTGCAACAAAACACAGCTTTTTGATACAGAGGTTCATAATTAATTTTGTGCAAATGTTAATTGTTTTAGTATGAGAAAGTTAACCAAACCTTTAAACTATTATCACATTAGTTTATCAATACAGATGTTTATTCTCTTAGTTATTTTGCAATTTAAATTATCGACTTTGTGATATGCTAAATATTTAAGGCAATAATATTAAATTATCTTAACTTAAAATACAGTTTAAAATACAAAACATTAAAAATTGCTTAAATAGGTATATACTAGTAACGGACATTTCAACAAAGTGATCCTATAAGGGTTCCGTTTTTTTCCTTTCGAGATACGGAACCTTAAAAATGATGTAAAAAAAAGGCTGATTTTTTTATGCCACTTATTTGACGTAATTTATAATGGGATGGTATTTTATAAGAATGTATTTTTACATGCTCATATTTAACGCATTAAAAACATTCTTGTATAAAAATGTCTTTTTTATAGTTTCTTTGGATGGTAGAAAATTTATGGTGTTACTTGGCTTAAAATCAAGGTGAATAATTAGTTTGATCCCTTTGTTATAATTATTTTATGGATTGTCTGGTAATGCCTAATTTTGGCCTTGTTCCACTACTTCTACCCACAGTTTCCTTGTAAAGAACGGGAGATGAATTTGACAGAGGACACGCAAAGGAAGAAGAATCTCTTATTGTTCGTCTTCAAATGCGGATGTCTAAGGGTACCGGCCTTTTCGCTATTTTAGCGAATTTAATGTTTGCTGAGTTAATTTTTTGTGCAGTTTTATCAGATTACCGATTTGGAAATCTCGTTGACTTTTATAAATTATAAAAGTGTTTGTGATTGTTAAATATTTTTTAACCTTAGTTATTTAGGAGCATTTAGTTAAACATGACACTAAATTAAAAAAATATTCGAATTATCGTGTACCAATTGGTGTCACATAGAGATTTTGTCACAAGCCTTAAAATTTAATTAGTAAACGACTAACATACAGTTAAACCCGAATAAAACGACATCAAAGGGATTGACGACATTCCGGAATAGCCTAGGACGTTATAACCGGTATACCGTTTCCACTAATGTTGTATTAAACGGTTCTTACTGTAATTAAAAAGCCTAAGGCGTGTAAGGCGGCGGTGGGGGTAAAATGGAAAGATCATCAAAAGGGAAGTATTGCTGTGTGCCGAGTACTGGTGGGGCAAAGTTTGAGGGCAATGTGGATATATAGTCGGCAGTAGGCGTGTAGGGGGGCAGCGTGGGCACCGCCGGTGTAGGTCCCACGCTGTGGGCCTCGTACCCATCCCAGTCTTCCATCAAGTTCCGCCTTTGCAGATCTTCATCATTAGACAATGGTGCTCCCCACAAATTAGCGGCAGACGCTAACAAAGCGAGAGCTCCTGCAAATATTAATACAACTCATAAAAATTTATACCTAAATATTTTTAATATGGAAATTAGTCGTGGAATTTAAAATATGAATAAAATTGGAGTCTCTGTATCGAAAAAAATATTCCGCAAACCGTGTGCCACTCATCCTGATGAAGGGCCCCCGATGGGCTCGAAACTAGTCGGTGCCGCCACCGGACGTATATACGTGAGTGTTTAGCCGTGTTTATATATCAGTTTATTCCGCAAACATAATGTGTTGCGTTGCTTTTAACGAAATTCCAATATATTTTATATTTGTCTGTATGTCTGTCCGCAAATATGTGTTTCCGTGTAATCTCTAAAAGGCTTGGACCTATTTTTAAGGAACTTTTAGGAAAGGTAGCTTATTTGTTCAGGAGTAACTTAAGCTTTTTGATTACGCGCTAACGAAGCTATGATCAACAACTAATCATGAGCTAATCATCATCATCAGCCCACTATCCGTCCCAACTGAGTAGCTCGGAGCTTTCCGTAAGTAGGGGGTGTCAAGACCATAGACAATCAAGCTGGCCCAGTGCGAGTTAGTTGATAGTTAGTTACTGTTTAATTAAAGTAAAATTATAAATAAATTAATTTAGACTCATACCTGCTCCTGTTATTGTGTAGAATCCATACTCGTAGTCGACTTGTATTGTGTTTGGGTCGCTATTGTTGACGTTACCGAGCACAACTGTTGTGTAGTAGCACACGCCAACAATGGCGATTACCCAAAACACACACATTATGCTCGGTATGGCGTTCCGTCGCAGAATTTTTATAGCTTTGCTATTGAGACTTGTTAGATTGATGAGTACACCGATACATGAGCACAACAACACCATAAAACACAGTAATATTAACACCCTCATTAGTGTTATTATCTCCGGAGTCGTACACGGTGGTAGACCTTGAAAAAATAATAATTACAATTGATTACTTCAATGTTACAATTCAAAATCTAATCGTCAGTTTTCTTTGAGGAAACGCATACCACAAACATGTCGTTCTTTCTATAATGAGGGAAATGAGAGGAATCTAATCTATACTGTCACAAAATTTAGTAAATTTCAAGATATTTGCTGAACGTTTTTGCAATTTTTCTCACATTTTTTCATATAATTTAATATGAAACTTATATGTCCGATAAGAATATAAAATAGAATAATAGGTACATGCCATAGAGACTTACATCTTACTAATATTATAAATGCGAATGTTTAGATAGATGGATGGATGTTTGTTTGAAGGTATCAGAACGCCTCAACGGATTTTGATGAAATTTGGCACAGATGTAAACCATATTCTAGTAGAACACGTAGGCTACTAAAAAATTTTTTTTAATTCGCGGGGAAGGTCGACAGCTAGTTTATTATTAAAGTAAAATAGACCAAATATTCGTATCATAATTTTAATTAACCTATATTTCGGGGCCGCACCCTAAGCCGTTATTCTATTTACGCGTAAAACACCATTACATTAGAAAATAGCATCACACTTATGTAATTAATTAAAAGTGACATCATATCATTATAATGATGACAATTCATTGTGTTATATTTTATGTCATCATATAGCTTTCACATTCTAACTAATTGGTGATTTAATAATGACATAATGTGTAAAATATACATGCCAAGGCCAAGGTAAAATAGTTTATCAGAAGTAAAAAATGAACTATGATTTTACACATAAAAGAGAAAATAACATTAATTCTCATGAAAAATAAAAGTAGATAATTAATTTCTATTAATTACACATAAGTACTTCTAAAGTAAATTACACATCATGTGTGTACAAATCTCAAATACAGTTGAACCTGGATAAATGAGAAACTTCTTTATGCCAGTCATTTTCTAGTCTCGACAGACAACCTACATAATCAAGAAACTCGAGTTAGAGAGAAACTGCTATACATCAGACAAATATCACAGTCCCTTGAGCTCTCGCTTCTGCAGGACAATCTCACTTATGTTATCCAATTGTAATACTATACTGATATGGCTCGCAGCATATATTTGTGACAACTGCAGATAAATTATTAAAACCCTAACACTGACCACTTTTAAACTTAAACCACATTAAAAGCACTTTAAGCATAACTGTATTATTGTAAGGCACTAGTTTTTCGCCAAACAAATTAGATATCCAAGTGATATCTTAAGTAGTCATTTTAAGAAAAACATTTACTTACCATTGAAATCAGATCTATTGATTGGATCATATTCTTTATTCTGATGTAGTGTCAGCTGATCATTATCATCATCATCATCATCAAATGTAAAGAATTGTGCGGGTGAGAGGCTCTGTGTACAATGCAGACCTTTAATCCTAAACCAACTGGGTTGTACTAGAGCTGCGCACGTCAACAAGAATGTAATCACATTGAAGAATGCCGCAATCTTGTTTAACTCCTTATCCTTAAAGGGCAATTGTATTTTGAGACCTAGAACAAGATATATATTTTTTTAACCTATAAACAGGCAAAAACAAAACATTAAAATGGAAACATTATAAACTATACAAGGAGTTTTTTATAATAAATAATAATAATATATTTAATTTAGTGCATAATTATTTGAGGTATAACTTTTTTTTTATTTACAAATGTGCCATAATTTAAATGCAACAATAAATAAATAAACACTTAAATTTGCAACATAAAGAGTCAGCAAATCTTGAATATTCAGCATGATGCTGCTAGGATGCACACCTCTCTCGCTATTTCAAAGTCTATACATATTTTATGCATATTTCATCAGCTCATACATACCAGAGGGGTTTTCATAAAACAATATGAAGGATACAATAAAATAGCATCTATGACATAAAGTTTGCAGTTAATTGTTATGTGGTGACTGCAATTAATTTCTAAAAATAGACTACTATCACAGTGGTGGCACCTCCGAGGGAGCCCTGCCTCATAACTTACAGTAATACACAATGCATATATTTCGTGTTATAGTTATTACTTCGTATATCTCTATAGTCTTATACAACAATGTTATCAACATGCATAACAGGTAGAGAAACTCAACTAGAAAGTGTTTTTTATATCACAATCAGAGATTTTGTAAGATACATAAAAATTTATAGACTTTTAAGTATATATAAAAGTCAATTTAAAACTTTTTTAAGGCATGTTACAGTCACATTGATATTTATTTAATATTTTCCCGCAAGGTTCGACGTCATACCTCTAATCCATGTCAGACATCCCATAGTGTTGGTGACACAAATGTTTTCAACTGAAATACAAGACACTCATATGATAAAATAATAAAACAAATTAGGAAAAGTAATTACACTGAAAACAAAACTTAACACACAACATATATCCTATTCTGTGACTGAAATATATTATTTTGACATTTGTTTGCATTTGACAGAATTGAAAAATATGAAGTGTGTAATCAAAATTTATCACATGATTGGTGGGAGTTTAGATCTACTTCCTCTTTTACTCTTATATCAGTTTGTCCAGGTAAAAGTGAGATGCATACTACAAACATATCGTATTATGAGATTCTTTATTCCTTTTAACGCAGTTATCTTAATGAATTCCTGATAAATATAGTTAAAACATGAATCTTAAAAATATAAGTAGTAGTATTAAGTATTTCGCCTGCTTTCATCAAAGAAAATTACAAAAGTAAAGTACTTTAACAAAAATTGCTGTATGAAAGTGACTTAAAAATTGTTCATGTTCATTTGATGAAATAAAATATCCAATGAATAAGTATGAGATAATGATTGGTTTTATCCCATGTAACTGCCGTAGTAATCCTATTTCTATTTAGCGGTTACACAGCGACAACGAAAAACTAGTCTTGTTTTCTATTTCTTATTTCCATCAATTTTCACCAAATTTACAATGTCACCACAGCGACATCTAGTAGACTACAGTAATACTGACATTTGGCAAGTTCTATGTAAAAATATAGTCAAATAACCTTATCTGGGCGTACAGACAGCTATAGAGGGCACTAGTGAGCTGTCATAATTTAGTTTGACTATGCCCACCGTACCTCAATACTTTGTCGATCTACAGTATTTATTTGTTTTTTATTGGCACTAATAGATTTTGGAATATTTAATGTTAGTCATTGTTATCCTAGTACTTGTAGTATATTTATTGTTTTTTTTTTAAATAATAATTCCAATGGGTATCCTGCCCCAGCATAAAACTTTCCATTATGACAAACCAAAACAAGGCTGGTGAATTGAAATACTATAGAAAATCAATAAACTTTGTATTTGCAGCTATGTCCATACTCGTCTGTGTAGTGGGGATTATAACTTTCATTTGTTTTGTGAAAACAGTTCTATTAAAATATAATAGAGCTATTACTCAACATAATCCTCACTCCACAAAGCAATTCTACGGAATAAAAGCGAATATTCTTTCAATTACGGCTTCTATCTAGAATATCCTTAGCGCGTCGCATGAATTAAAAAAAAATTAAACGGCACAGATACTTTTTAACATAAATATTCAATTATTTATACAAACGTATTTGTAATTGGAAGACGTCTTGGATAATTGTAATAATTTATTAGTGCGAAATATTTTAAAGTGATTAATTGCGATCGTAACAATTGCTGAAATAGATTTATTACAACCAAGGCTGAATGAAAACCTCGCTCGCAAAAACATGATATACCGCTCGTTATCGAGTAAGCGTTGTCATCGTTTGCAACGAAACATCGTACATTTATTTTACACTAATATCCGCAGCTTCGTTACCATAAAACTTTAACGTACAAAATTTAAAGGCAGATTGAAAAATACAATGAAAATGTTAGTCGATGAGGTTAAGTTACCTTATTAATAAGAAGTATAATTTTCCTGTTTTTACCACCAGGATTACGATTAGAAATTAGGAAAAATACGGATCCGCAATGTAAGAGTAGTTATGTAAATTTAAAACATCGAATGAAATAGTAAAAAAGATTGTGATATAGCACATTTAGTGCTTCAACAATACGCTATGAATTATGTATCAAGCCTTAGAATTTCTAACATCATTATTCAATCCTTTTTGATCGCACAATGATGCTAGCTTTTATTGTAACAAACGTGAGCTAAGATATTTTCTTTTGTACTTTTGTTAGAAACTAAAATATATTTTTTTAGGCAAAGAGTTCGGAACCTAACCGTATCAAATGTGTTGGACAGACAGATTGGAAATATGTCTAAGCGTAATTAGCGACATTACGTTAGAGGGAGCCAATAAAAAGTAAAAAGTTATTGGCACATAGTGCCGCCGTGAGGTTTTATTTCTTTCTTTTATCGAGTAGTGTTTTGTTATTTTTCAGTGCAAAAAAGAGTGACAATGAGCAGAGAATAGTGTTGTCTTAAATTACTTATATTCGTTAAATCGTAGTGTGTATATATGTTTTGTAAAGTTAGAATTATAATTTCTTAATAAACATTTAAGTGAAGAGTATGATGCTTTTATTTTGAACAAATATTTGAAGGTTTTTTTCTCTATTGTATAGTTCTGTATCTTTGCAATTGAGAGCACGTCCCATATTATGCTTTTATTATGCTAGAAAGAAAACACAACACTGTGCTGGTTTACCGGCACATCACTAGTGTTATGGAGATGTCGACGCTTGTGTCCCCTCACTAATAGAATTTGACGCTTGACTTAGTAACGAAAGCGCGCCATTTGCGCCAAATGATTCTAACTAATAATGTCTAAAAAATATTACGTGGCAAACGAGCAAGCGACCACCTCCATTCACCGAAAGAACAAAGCGAGCGCAACTCATAGACATCCGCACAGAAGGACTCACAGAAAGATTATATATCTTCTTCCTATGCTTTCCCTTCTCCGTCAAATGCACTTTCTCTTCCCTTCCTATAAGGATAAAAGTAAATGGTTTGAAGGGAAGCGACTAAACACCTAAAAAAGAAATAATTGGACTCATTTTTTTTTCAATAATTTGTAATAACTTTAATTTTAGTTATAGCGAGACACTAGTGGGGAAATTACTTGCCTAATTAGTTGGAGACGTCACTAATTAATTTTCATTTTCCACGAAACATTCTACCTAATAAGCATCTGTTGAATACTCGAATAGAATATAATAATAACATCATTATGTCCAGATTGCCGAATTTATATTTAACTTCTAACACTTTTCTATAAACTGACACGAAATAATAGAAATGACTGCTTGGCTTATATTTACCTCTAAAAACAGTAACATTCATTTTGCACAGAATTTTCATTCATTTGTATTCACATACTTGGAATTGATATAGAGGTTTCCGGCTTTACACGGACTGAAGTTATGACGGTTTGAAAATTTAATAAAAAGCTGCAAATACAGGTTCAACTTAAGGTAACATATTCAAAGTTTATACGTTTGGGTTTGTTTTCCTCGTTCGGATTTCTAATCAGGGGTAGTTTACTTCTTCTTTTAACCATATGACGCCCACTGTTGGAAATTGGCCTTCTCCAAAAATCGCCACGATGATCGGTCTCTTGACAGTCCCGGAATCTTGACCAGATCAGTCCATAGGTCCATCGGTCCATCTTGCGGGAGGCCTGCCTACGCTGCGTCGATCTGTTCGTGGCCCCCATTTCGGTTTTACTTAAAACGTGACAATAGATTATTTACTAATATAAAATCTTTAGCGCATATTAATTGCAATATAAGATGCATATTTTTGTATAGAGATGTATGGAGGAGTAGCATATACTATGCCGACCCTCTATAGGGATAACGGCAGCTTGATGATGATTATGAGATATATGTAGCATATTTATGTAGAGAGGTAACATAGTCGGTTGGACCTAATATTTTTTTGGAGATTTAATTCTACTATATGCTTTTATCGGCATTGTTTACAAAATTCTAACTAAAAAATCACTGTAACTTTTAACAAGCAAAGAAAAAACCTTCTTAACGAATTTACTTAGTAGTTACTAGTTATGTTAAGTTATTTGTTTAATAGAATAGAAAGTAAAGATTAAAAGAAGTTGGGAACAAACTTTTTTAGATGACGAACTAAATGAAGTGTTAATTATGAAAATTCACAAAATATTCAACTATTACTAAAAATTCCAAAATTTGTATGCCTGGATTCTTGTTATTATGTAACGACTGAAATCCGCAAATGGAATACAGGCTGAAATAGCGCGTAGACTAATTAAGTTTGTTTTCTAATTCCGCTCAGACGAAGTCACGTGCGTCAGCTAGTCTTTTAATAAGAATTATATTCGTAACGTTTCTATCACGTTAAGGAATTCTAATTAAAATATACGTACGTGTTAATACTTTAAAGCATTTAGTTTGTAGTAATCTAAATTTCCTTTGATAATATAAATATGCTTATACGTTGGTAATTTGACAATAAATAATTTATTATTTATTGTCAATACGTCATACATTTTGACTTTTCCTTTAGTCATAACGCCAGAATGGATGTTCTGATTAAGATTGTGATTGGATTGGCCTTGTTGATGCCGATTTCATTTTACGTCTTACTAACAAAGTAATCTAAATTCATGTCAGATTTAATTTACATATTGTGGTGAGAGTAACGAATTTGATTTCAAACTACAAGATCGTAACGAAGAGCAATCTACAAATCTACTGGAACCATTGACCTCTATATTCCACTTGAGATGTTTTGGACCTATTTGATTTTCCCTATCTTGACGCTGACGAAAGCGGTTGACAGTGGCGTTCAAAACTAAAACGAATAATCCAGACCCAGTTAGTCGACGGTAATTTCAACTGGCGGTTTTAAGGAGGAATTAAGTAAAGCTGACATTGCCGAGTAAGGACCTGTCACCTGTAACCTGTGACTAGTAACAGCTAGCTTTTGGAGGTAAATGCTTTGTTTATATGTAATTTTAAAGCGAGGGAATTTAAAGTACCTTTGAACCAGAGATTACCAATTGCCACACTCACAGGTATTATATTAAATTGTCATTAAGGGAAAACTACTTGGTACATATTTGGTATGAGAAATCTACTGAATGGAGTGTGAAGGGATTAAAAATGATCCCTAAAACATATGTCGTCTGTCGCGGTTTTCATTTCGGAGACTACGCGGCCTCTTATCGCTATTAGTGACCGTCGTTGAGTTTTATTCATTGTAGGCAGGATATAATCTATCTCTCAACCTTACTGAGATTACAATGCGTTGGATATTCTTTCACGTAAGGAAATACATGGATTCCTTTAGAACCATAACCAGACTTTGAGTGTGCAGGTTAGACTTGGTCGTAGTATATATCCTCATAATATTGGCCCAGAAATCTATGGTCTTCCATTTGCACATAAAAATAAAAGTGTCTTTTTGTTTTTTTTTTTTTAAATATAATATTTTTATAACAAATAGATAAGAAGTATCGTGTATGTGAACCAAAAATTAAACGTAAATATTATTGTCTTGTAGTTAACATATACTGTTCAAGTACTCGAATCCTAAATATAAACAGCAAATCGCCAAAGATTTTACAGTAAAATCTCCGACAGTAGTCCCAGTCTCCGCCTCATATCTCATCTAGTCAGTTACGGGATCTCACACAAGACGCACGTACCGTCCGATTGTAAACTTCTGACGATTTCACGACGAAGTTTAAAACAAAAAGGTTTTTAAAGACCAGTTCGATATTCAAAAAGTGTTGTGGTTTTGTAATAGTAAAAGTGTAATATAATATAATTATTGTAAACATGACAACATTGTTTTTTGTTTTGTTATTGATAACAAGTAAGTTTAAGGTAGTTTTAATCCTAAGATTCAGCACCGGAACATATAAACAAAAATTATACTTTTATCGCTTCCATTGTCTTAAAAAAAAACAGAGGCAGTAAAAACGTTTTGTACAGGGAAACGCTGACAGTACGTTGTTTTCCTGAAAATACCTTTTATTTATCAAAGGATTTATATTTTAAATGATAAAAATAAAATGATATTATTCATCTTTTTATATGATTTAATAGAGAGACAATACACATTAATTGCAGAAACATAATAAGCAATAAAAGTATTTAACTACAACAAATAATATTCGATGAAGCTACTTCCATACATTTCTATCAGCTGACATATCTTGTTTTTCTTACGTATATCTTCTTTGCAATAAATTTAATTTAATTTAACAAAGTCGCCAAGAGTTGTCAGTCTGTTTTTGAATTAGAAGTTCCGTACGTATTTCAGTTAAATAAAGGTCGTATTTAATCAAACCTAACTCCGTATGATCCAGCGTATTTGATTCGATTGAAATTATGCGGAGCAACAACTTCAGAAAACATTTTAAATGTAATCCACCAGCTCATTTTTCTTTTATACTTTATTAATATAGAGTTAATAATTAAATTATTATCTATCATTGGATAATAGTTGTATTTCTTTGTTTTTGTCGTCACCTAATGGCTCGTAGCTTGTCCAAGTCAATGGTAAGGGTAGTCAACCACGCTGACTCAATGCGAATTGATTGACTTCATACACATCTTTAAATTTCTCTATCGAAATGTACAAGGATACATCACGATGTTTTCCAGTACCGTACCCAACGGATATATATACGTAGTAGAACAGAAACTATGTTATTAAGTCATATATTGCATGGTTTAGGTAGTTCTGGAGCAGATTTGCCTGAAGAAGAAAGCTGTGATTCAAGCCAGCTGAAGGTTTGCGTAGACAGTATACCACGAACACGAGTTGGTCTACCGCGTAATAAAGAAGAGCTAGATGCGCACTGTTTGTAAGTTATTAGCTATGGGTTATCGACACATTTGTATAAAAACTTGCTTCACAGCAAAATGTTTTCATACAAGTGTACTTATTACACTTGTATGATAACAAGTGGAATTTTACAGTATTATTTTCTACTATGATTCCCTTTGCTACATTGCTTTCAATCATAGCGTATGCAAACATAATAATATTTTCGTAGAAGTTGATGTTAAATGCCTTTATGTGGAAAGGACATTAAGATTTACAATAAAAGATGGCCAAAAACAAAATAGCAGATAAAATATTTTTGCGCAACCCATCAATATGGTATCAAGTGATAGGAGTTTTTCAGTAGAATACTATGAATAAATTTAATCTGTAACATGGTTGGACTATGGTTACATCAAATAGCGAAGTACAAAAAGTTGATGTGTAGAATTAGTATATTCAAAGATTTTGTTTTAAACTCCTGTTAACTAAGTGTTTAGTATAATATATTTTCAGGGCATACAATATCGGCATGTCGTGCATGGACGAGTGGATGAAGCGTTGCCTGCCAACAGACGGTCAGAAAATCATACAGCGACAGATAGCTGGTGCGCAGATTCTCATGCGCTATCTCTGCTCAAATGGAACTGCTGTGAGAAAAGGTCAGTCCTACTTTATTACGATAATAATGTAAAACTTTCGTTGAACTAACAACCATAGTTAATATGACCTAATATGCGCTGGTCATACTTAATTATTGCCAGTTTTAATGTTATGTCATAATCATTTTCTGTTTTATGTTTATGTAAACTGAAAATTCTGAGTATAAAGTATTAATATAGCCATATTATTAGGTGTATTCTATTGTACTGGTGTGTAGAGTACCTGCGAGAGCCAGCGTGCCTGGCAATGGTGTCAGCCGATTGGTCGGGCTGTGTGGACGATCTGCAAATGGCTGTCAGAGATATCGCAGAGCGCTCTCAGCAAATTGTTTACTTCAACAGAAACTCAGAATTTTGCTGGTAAGAAAGTACCAGGAATTTACTGTATCTAATGTTTGCTTACATCTCTTTGGCACTGCGCAGCGCTTATTTATTTTAAGTTTATTTATAGTATATTTTTAGCTAATAGAGAGAATTTAGCGCTAACTTGTAATCTAGAATCTCACCAATTTCTTTTTTCACATAGGTTTTTCACATTTTAATTTTCGAATTCATTCGACGTTTTCACGGTAAAGGAGAACATTGTGATGGAACCTGCACAATTAACGAATTTAGTCCAACACTTTGATCAACGTGGTCGACTAAGAGAACAAGTTTCTTAGTGGGCACGTATATTCGGTGACGTCGAATATTAAATAAGGACATTGTTGTGTGCAGCGCCCGTGACGAGTTCCTGGCGTGCGTGTCGCGCGCGGCGCGGGCGTGCTCAGCCAGGGCGGGCACCGTGCTTCGTCGTATCGCGTGGGTGCTGGCACAGGATGTCGCGGCGTGCAGCAACGAACCGCGCGCGCATTGTGCCGCCCCTCAGACGCCGCCAGCACGCCTCACTGCACCCCTGCTCACCGCGCTATACGCACTGCTCTTCCCGCCTCTACAATAGATGAGCCGTGCTATGAAAGCGTCTGGCACTTAGTACGTTTTGATGTTTACGTTAAATAAGTTCATTCGGTTCATTTCATGCAGTAGATGTTCTTTGTCTGGCCATAGTTCTCTCGAAGAATCCAGGCCATATGAAGGATCTGAGCGCCTGGTGGACGACGAAATATCGTCAATGTATCCAAAAGTGATGGGGCAAACAATACAGAGGATCGTCATCTCATAAAAGGGATATACGCACTTTGTGATCCCAACTGTAGGTCTGCGTCTGCTAAGAACCGCGTGGATTGTGTTCTTTTTGCTCTTGCCACGTGCATGCAGAAGCAATTTTGATCGTTACTATATTTTGTTGGAGGCCAACGTATGCTATTCAGGTAGAAGCGGTTTAATAATGTATTTAAATAAGGACAACGATGTCTTTAAAGAAGACATAAATTTTTTAATTAAATGTAAAGATGGATGTAATAAATAATTAAGGACATCCTGGTCTTTTATTCAAAAGAAGCCATTCCGCGCGGAAATAATTTTGATTCAATAAACAGTTCTTTTAAGTATATAATAAAGGTTAACGCGCATTTGTCCACTCCTCGTCCACTTGGCGGGCGCGGTTTACTCGTCGCCGCCTCGAAGTCATATATATATTGTTACCAAAACTTTCCGTAAAGCGGTAGGCGATGCCTCGGTGTCGTATCGTCTGGACGATCAACAGTTGGGTTGATGGCGAATATGACGTAACGTTTTGCTAATTTTATATTTTAATCTCTCGCAATCGGACACGACATGTGTGACGTGCCGGGTGGGCGATGAGTTGACAAATCCACGTTAACCTTAAAGGCGGGTTCAATTGTTTGTAAATGTTGGGTACCCATTACTGATTAAAATTAATAAGTTGAAAAATATGTAGGTAATCATATTAATATAGCTAAGTTGCTCACAAGTGAAAAGTCTGCTTATCATTAAGGATAATGGAGGACTTTAATAGGGTAGGGAAAGGCGAGGGTGGGGACATTAAAGCGGCTTCAGCCATAAAACCACTTTAGATTGTAATGGTATGAAAAACAACACCATTTTACTTATATTTTAGCCGTTTAAATTATTTTGCTTAATATTTAAACTCATTTATTATGTAAGTATATATTTTACTTGTAGTGTTCCTACTTTTGTGCCATTATTATCTGAAATGACCACATCTGAAATGACAACTTTTAAAATTGCTACAAGAATGATAGGTAATGTAATTATATGTTTTTAAAATTTTGAACACATTTAATAACATAATATTTGTGGCTTTAGTGCAATAATTTAACTAATAATGCGATCCTGTAATTTCTGGAAAATTAATTTCAGGCTACGAGTTTTCCGGAATATTAATTTCAAAGTGTAATTTATATTTCATATTTACATCAAAGGGAATATTTTAACTGAAATTGAATAGGGTATGCTTCGATGGGTTGGACACGTGGAAAGCAGGAATGAAGAAACACAAAGCCAAAGTCATAGTGAGTGGCATTGTTGGTCTAAGCCGATTAAGATGGAATTTCCCAACCAGGTAGTGGAAATTCACAAGGGCAGTTAAGAGTACTAGAAACTGGCGAGCATGTAACGATATATGAATGGGAAAGAAGCGACAGAGGTTTGCCATTTTAATAGAAATCTGTAATTCCTGCCTACCCTTATGGGTTAGGGGCGTGAATTATATTTGTACTTGATGGATGCATCATAGATTATTTATTGTTACCAGTAAAATTTTGCACAAAATCGTGCATTTAAAATGATTTGTGATTTCAATTTGAATCAGTCGCGTTCTACTTCTAATTTTGGAACATTTCCAACAGATTTACGTGATTGTTCACGTTGTGGTTACATTTTACAATTTACAGAAAAGGATATTACTTAGGAAATGATTATCAGGTGTAATTGAATTATTGATAGATCAATCTGTTCAAAACTTTTAATAAAAACCAAAACATAGCCAATAAACTATCGTCATCCTTAGACAATTTACCTAATTAATTAGCTTCCTTAATATAGGTTTTTAATTGTATGTAAAAAAATAATCCTATTTACAGCGTTATAACATAATGAAACGGATGAATGACCTTATGGATTCCGGGAACATGATTTACGTAAAAACACATTTGAACAACATTCACTGCCGACGAAATAAACTTAAATGACTCTTGATACAAGCTATTTATATTTTATTGTTTAATTTCAAATGATCTTAATTAGTAGAGATGTCTTTTTAATTTGAGGGAAATGACTACGAATATACGTCATTGCCGGATTATTTATGATTAAAAACCTCACATTATTCCTCTTAGCTTCACCGAAGACTTAGCCAAGAATTATATAGTCACCTTGTCATGATGCACCACCATCATGACAAGGTGACAACCCTATCGATCAGACAACAACGATGCTAAAATTATTAATTATTTTAAACTCTAAAATAATATTAGAACAAGGAAAACGTACATAGTAGTAAACAGTAAGTGGGTGGATGCGACACGTGTATAAGATTTTGTATTTTAGCCTATCTTACTAATATTATTAATTTACAGAATATATACAAAATATATTTAATTTACTACAGAACGGTTAAAGGGATCTTGCTGAAATTTGGCATAGAAATAGAACATAGTCTGGATGAACACATAGAGTAGTAAGTTTTTTATTAATTCAGCGCGGACGGAGTCACGGGCGACTGGTAGTTCTAAATAATTTCGATTAGCAAAATTATGAAGTATGCTGACTAATAACATGAAATATCTTGTAAATTTGGAGTAGTGTAAGTACTTCTAATTAAATAGATAAGTGCCCCATTTAACCCTTAGGCGTAAACATCCAACAAGTAAGACTGAAGTTTGATAATAGGGATTGGCCGAAGTCTCAAATAGGCACGTGGAGCTTCAGGCGTTTATTGGAAAACTTTCAAATATAATTAATGCAATTATTCCGCCAAAGACTAGACAACCTACAATCTTATTTTTTATTATACATTTTTTATATTGGTGAAAACATTTTAAACACTTTTTGAATCATTTTTATGTCAAATACATGTTTCATTTTACAGTATAAAAACATCTACGAGTATATAAATTAGAATGACAAAGAACCAGTTTGTTTAATTTTTTGCCTGTCTGTCTGTCTGTGTGTACAAAAGTCCATGTTTATTCCGAGTAATCTTCGATATAACTGGATAGGATTTGACGGGTCTATTAATGAAAAAAAAACTTATGTTTGCTGGAGTAACATGGGGCCTTTTAATTCAATGCGGACGAAGTTGCGGGCAACAGTTAGTTATTTTGCTTACATTTAATTGGAATACGAAAGTAAATTTTATCTTTAATATTGTTCTAAGTCGTATTAATATATTTTTCTAACAAGAAATCTATCCCGAGCTTTAAGTTACAAAAGAGACAATTTTTACGATAGATTAACTTTTAATTCCGAAGGTAAACGAAACGACGATGTAGAAAATTATCTTTTTTATTTTACTATCTTTATTATGAAAACAAAATTTGTTTAAATCTATGTTATAAAATTTTGCTTCAAATAATTTGTGAGTTTATTCAATTATAAAGAAAAACATTACAAAACCTACTTAAAATATTTGTAAATAAAAGTCAAATGTAGTTACTTTTCACTTTGTCTGGTAATCCAGATTTAATTTACACCTAGATTTTGATGACTAATAAAAGATATAGACCTAGAATATACTTGAATAAGGATATTATTGTCAGCCTTACCAAATATACTAATTTATTAAAAATACACAAATCTTTTTTTTAATATGTAGAAATATTGTAGTGAAAACTTTATGTCACCTCCCCCTACACAAGTAGGATAACGATGTTATTGGATACAAAACATTTTTATTAAAAAAACTTAAGAGGCAAGATAATATAATAAGAAAATAAAATCATAAATTGTCCTTGATGGCCTCGACCTCGAATATTGTATAAAGACAGATTTTAACAACTGTATTAACATCAAAATGAAATATTTCTATGGAGAAAATTAAGATCTATTCATTCTTCATATAATAACATTTAACAATATATGGTAAAGCAGCTTTTTGATTAGATTCTAGTTCGATTTAATCTATAAATCAACTAGCTGTCGCCCGCGACTCCGTCCGCGTGGATATAATAAATATAGCCTATGTGTTCTTTTGACTATGTTCTTTACGTATGCCAAATTTAATAGAGATCCGTTCAGCCGTTCTAGAGATAACTTCAAAAACCCATCCATCCATCCACATCACATCCATCTAAATATATATATATATATATATTCTTCGGTCGGGCTTGAATCCTTCAATAATAACGCATATGCACGTCCAAAGTCGACTAAAATTTCTGTGAAACAATCCGTAATAGTTTAACTAAAAAATATATACGTCTCAAAGATACGTCACAATGAACGTATAATCTACTCCAAAACGTGCTGCATCATGACAGCTACGAGAGATTGATGTTTATGCAACAAAAAGATGAACCCCGGTCCAGAAATACGTTTGATGTCATGCCTCGAAATATTTCACAAAACGTGACACGACAATTAAGTCTTCAGTAAAACCAGTTTTCATCGATTTACGTATTTCATATTACTTACGGATTTCATATAAAACTTGTTTGTCCAATATGAAATTACTGTAGAACCCCGGTAATACGATCCAAGGGACCGAGCCAAAAAGGCGTCGTACGCGGGAAAGCGTATTATGCGGGAATGGATATAAGACGTATCCTATATTAATTCGTATTTATGTAATGTAAATTTCCTATATATAGGTATTGAATGATATATTTATACATGTTACGTACTTTGTATAATATAATTATTAAAATCTAGATGTATTTTTTTTAAATTGTGTTTTTTGGAAATTATATTTAAGTACGAATTACTAATGAAATCATGATATATGAATAATATTTTTCGATCTTACCGATAGAAAAAGTTAAGTTTATGTTTCAGTTGATTATCGATAAAACACGAATAAAATGACATTTTCTAAAAATGATTCATAGCTAGATCGATTTATCGCCCCCGAAACCCCCTGTATACTAAATTTTATGAAAATCGTTGGAGCCGATTCCGAGATTCCAATTCTCATATATATGAATTGCTCATTTAAAGATATAAGATTATATAATAAGTTATTTAGATAATCACTTATTTTGGTTTAACAGAAAAAAAATGATGATTAGTAATATAATTAGATTCTCAATATAATTAAAATAAAAAGTGCGTCTTCGCTTTTATTAAAGGATGGTACGTTGCGTCTTAAATCATTCACTGACATTGCCTGGGGTCTGATAAGATTGGAGTTGATTCGTCTTCGTATTCATCATAATCACTCAGAGCCTCCGTGTTATTAGCACTTTCAATGAGATGTTCAATATTTTGCATCTCGTGCGGTGCCACATTGTTATCGATGGAAAGTTAATATATTTTTTTTGTCAACAAGA